TCCATGTAGGCTCAAAAGAATCAGATTCCAAAATAAAAGCTTGAATGATTTCACTCTCCCAGGAGGCTGATAAGTCACGATTGGATCACTATTATCCTATAAATATCCAACCGGATCTGAAGAATGCCAAGGGCCATGAGCCTAGTGCAGAGAACTGCATCTCGCTGGCCAGAAAGGAGCCATCAGCTGCATCATCATGCAACTGAAATGCAGGGATAAAGTTGACAGGAGAGTCCTTGACAGTGAGGCTGCTCTTGGCAGCCTTATTATGATAAGGTGATTTCTATGTGGATGGGGTCTCTTGTCCATGTCCTACAATATAGCAAATGAGGAGAGCCTAATATTCAGTAGTTTATTAAACTGAGTTATGACTCATGACTCAACAGTGAAGTCCTGAAATAAATTTAGTGGATTTACCATGAGCATTTAAAAAAATATGAAATAGGCTAAAACTATCAAAGAACGTGGCACATAGTCATGAAACCTTAAATAGTGTGCACATGTGGGTCAGAGGGTGGTACAGCAGTAACACAACTAGACCTACATGGGAAATATCCTAAGTTCACGGCCGGGGCTTCTTGCTACACACCAGATATGCATGTGTGCTCATGATTCAAGGCTGGCTGAGGCTGGGGGGGGATCATGGCATGAAAACCCCATTAGGGGTGTCTATTTCTCTAGCTCTCTTTCTCTCTGACTCTCTTTCTCATGGAAAAATATAACATGAAAGTAATTGTGTGTGAGAGAGTAGATTTGGATTTGAGGCTTATAGTGTGCAGAGAGCTAAAACGCGAGGCAAAACATCCCTTCGTCCCTAAATTTATTCCGTAGTTCCACAAAGTGCCTAAATTCAGCAGTGAAACATTTCATGTTCTACATCATGAAGATGTGGGGGATTTCAAACCACTACATTAAGGTAAGATGCACCTAAGAAGAATAAAATCCGAAGTTTCATTAGCCAAGGCTGACGGTTCTCTGCCAGCAGAGCTCAAATGAATAGAACATGCTAGGCACCTTTATAATAGGAGAGGTATGTTGAAAGACTAGATGGTGGGGGGAACTAGCAGTTAGTGTAATGGCTATGTCGCTGGACTCCCACGTAGTCGACCGCAGTTCGCGTCCTGGACCCGGTGGCTTAAAACTCAGGCTGGGCGCGTGTGCGTGCGTGCCCAAGATCCCGAGAGGAGAATGGAGGAGAAGGGATTGCGGCGTGACCATCCCGCCTGGGGGGTGATTTCTCGCTTTCTGTCTGTATGTCTCTCTCTGTCTGTATGGCGAGGGCACGTGCCCTATAGCGAAAAGACCTCTCAAAAAAGAAAAAAAAAAAAAGAGTAGATGGTGAGTCAACAGGTGGCAAGGTGATGAAGGTGCTGGACTCCCACATGGCTGATGACAGTTTGAGTCCTAGACCTGGCAGCTTGCTTTCTCACGTTCTATCTCTCTCTCTCTCTCATGCTCCTGTGTCTCTCTCTGGTTAGTATAAATTTAAAAAAAAAAAAAAAGAGTAGACGGCAAGACCCCATAAATCACCTGTAGATTTCACATATTTGATGCGTACCTTTCAGTCAGCACAGATGGATGGTTCCCACACAGGATCTCTCAATGCTCTTGGCTACCACCAAAGTCAACAAGGAGGATCACAAGCATACTCCTACGGCTATTTGTGCTGACCAGTACTTTCACAAACACCACTGAGAAAGGATTTTCTTAAGGTCATTAAGTTTTACATTACAGATTTTATGTCAATTCACTGGTTACAAATTTCATGAAAATTCATGGTTAGTCCATCCTGGATGGCAAAAAGGGCCTCAAGGAATGTTTAGGTCAATAATACTTAAACATTATTGTACACCAGAATTGCCTAGAGAGTTTCAAAAAAAAATTACAGATGCCTATGCCATACCCAGATATTGTTTGAATAGGTTTGGGAATGGGGTCCAGACACTTCTTCTTTAGTTTCCCTCCCCCTGCCCCCCGTAGGGCATGTGTGCTCACCAGAGAGACAGAGAGAAAAGGAAAATAAGAAATCTCTCCCTGGAGAGATGTCACCACAATCTCTTCTCCTGCATTCTCCTCTCAGAATTTTGGGCATATGTGCACATATGTCTAGCATGTTTTTCAAGTCACTGAGTCCAGGAGTCGAAACCATGAATTTAGCCACCTGATGGCCCTGCCCAGGCTCTTTTTAATAAGCCTTTTTAAAAAGTGGGATTGGAGGACAAGCAGATAGTGTAATGGTTACATCGCTGGACTCCACATAGTTGACCATGGTTCGAGTCCTGGATCCAGTGGATCAAGTCTCAGGCTGGGCATGTGTGCGTGCATGCCCAAAATCCTGAGAAGAGAACGGAGGAGAAGGGAGGGACTGTGGCATGGCATTCCCCCAGGGGGTGATTTCTTGCTTTCCATCTCTCTGTCTCTCCAGTGAGCACGTGCGCCCTATAGCAAAAATTTCTCTGAAAAAAAAAAAAAAAAAAAAAGCGGAAGTAGGTTCCACTTTTAGTAGGAAGTAGGAAGTATCTTATGGACATAGACACGAGTCTGTCCATAAGATACTTGAATTCTATAATGTCCTGAACAAGTGTTTTGTTCTATTCTTAAACAACTATAGTTTTTTTTTTTAATTATTTACTTTTTGGGACCAGCAGTTAGTGTAATGGCTATGTCACTGAACTCCCATGTAGCCGACCATGGTTCGAGTCCCGGACCCAGTGACTTAAACTCACACCGGACGCATGTGCGTGTGCGCCCAAGATCCTGAGAGGAGAATGGAGGAGAGGAGAAGGGATTATGGTGTGGCTATCCCCCGGGGGGTGATTTATCACTTTCTATCTCTCTGTTTCTCTCTGTCTCTCTGGCGAGTGTACGCGCCTTATAGCAAAATCCTCTCCAAAAAAAAGTAATTACTATTTACTTTTATTTATTCATTCTTTTTTAAAAAAATTGATCAGAGAGTGACAGAGACAGAAACAGAGAGAGAGGGGAAGTGAGAAAGCAAGCCACCAGGTCCAAGACTTGAACCGTGGTTGGCCATGTGGAAGTGTCCAGCACCTTAACCACCATGCCACCTGCTGGGCCCAACAACTATAATTTTAACAATAGTTTCACTTAAAATGGGCAGACATCTGGCTCCCTTTAGTATGAACTCATTAGTCATTTTGTCTACAGTGCCTTATTCTAGTCCCCCAGCCCTTATGTATAATGATAGGTCCATCTTTCTATCCTATATTAGTCCTTGGTATCAACACCCAGACAAATGGCACAAGACACGAAACAGAGTCACAGTAACACTTATGAACTGCCAGTTGCCAGTAATATTATTGTTGTGGCTGCTCTTATTATTACCACTGCTAGAGAACACAGCAATAACCATTGTTGATAACTAAATCACCAAAGCCGTTAGCCAAGACAAATGTCAGGAACACTCTACTTCTCAATATTGTAGAGTAAATGCTATATATTGATGATCTGGAAGAAGGCAACATGGCTGTTATTGTGCTTTAGTCACTTACCACTTTCTATGAGCCAGATAAGTAACCCATGCAAGGAAAGTGTCACAGGTGTGTTCAGGTGGGGCTTGACAAAAAGACTACTGCTTTTCATATTTTAAACAAAAGCACTAGAGATTATGGAAGAATTTTTTTTAACACTCAAAACCTCCTTCACAAAGTTAAAAAAAAAAGGTTTCAATAATAATGTTTCTTAAAGGAAAATAGAAGAGGGCTAGCCAGTGGCATGGTAGATAGGTGGCTGGATCCCACAGGGCCAACTTTGTGGTTCGAGTCCTAGACCTGACAGCTTGCATAACAGGCTGAATGCATGTGTATGTGTGCTCAAAATCCCAAAAGGAGTGAGAAGTGAAGGGGAAGGGATTGTGGAGTGGCCATTCCGCACGGCAGGGTGCTTTCTCTCTCTTTCTCTCTCTCTCTCCCTCTCTCTCTCTCTCCTGATAAGCACATATGCTCTCTGGGAACTTTTATTAAAAATAATAAAATTTATACAAAAAAGAAGAAGGTAGAATGAGGATGTATAAAATTTAGTTTTTACAGAAGAAGCAAGGGGAAAAAGTAAGTTGAAAAAATAATTACTTCTGGGAATATATTTCCACCTATCTCTATGCATTGAGCTGCCGGAAAAGTCATGATATGTTTTTTCTATTCTTCTATGCAAAACTATGCCATGACTTTTCCTATGACCCAGTATCACTCGTTAAGCTTAACCTCTCTCTAACCCTCTCTCTAACCCCAGCATATCCAACCCTAAAGCCATGGAACTGTACTGTGCTTTAAGGGATGTCTACTAGGATTAATACAAGGCCCTTTCAGAATTGATCTTATTCCCAGACTCCTGTGAATTCTTCATAAAGAATTCCTTATCTTGTAGATCATGGTGTGGTGACGTGTAATGAACTAAGGCAGATTTACCTTAACTCTAAAATAAATAATAATAAAACAACAATAGGCCAACCATGGTGGTACAGCAGTAACACAACATGTCACAATGCTGGTGCCATATGGGAAGGTCACAGTTCAAATCCCGAGGTCTCCCTGTACATACCAGGTGCCCACATATATGCCTGTGATCCTGGCAGATTGAGGTCAAGGGTGAATCATGACATGAAGACCCTGTTGGGGGGTGCTTGTCTCTCTCTCTCTTTCTCTCTCTCTCTCACTCCCTCTCTCAGAGGAAACAAACTTCAAAAACATGACAGTAGCACAGACAAATTTTGGTTATTTAGAGAATACTTAAAGACATACTTAAATTTTCCATTGTCTTCTTCCCTATTACTGCCAAGGTTGGTAAATTAAATGATATTTTGTGAATTACCTGCCTTAAGTCTAACTTACTCATCATTGTTGAGATTAATTAGAAATTTACCAATAGCTTATTAACTGTCTTATTGATAGTACAGACAACAATCAAACACATAATCTAACAAACCTGAGTTTCAAAAAATTGCCAACCTTCCATCATTATTTTGCAGAACAAAATAGTCATACCTTCGACTAAAGAAGTGAGGAGGGTTACGTTGGCTGCTTTCCGTCTTCCGGCTGGCAAGTTTAAGCCAAGCCTGTCCAGTTTCTCTCTCAAGCAACGACCCCCATTCTTAGATTTTGCTCTGCCCAAAACAAACAAATAAACAAAAATAAAGTCTAGGTTTTGAAAATTCACATTCTGAAAAATATTATGACAATATTTGACTACATGGGGAGAACGAATTGGATAGGAGACGTAAGAGCTGAGGGTTGAAGGTGTGGGGGCAGTACAATTACCAGATGCACGATACCAGAAACCCACTTAGTCTTACCTTCTCAAAATGCCTCCTAAGAGCGAAGCATTGAGGCACTCAGGTGGTGAGAGGCGCCTCTTTACCTCAGCAATCGTCACCTTATATTTGGAAGTAGAACTGAGAAGGGATAAACGGCCAGGGACAGAGCAAAACAAGTCTGTGGGGTTGACGACACAAGTGCCACCTTAGAAGGAAAAAGCATGTGACATGTTAGTGACAGTGAGAGATGATAAGCTGCATGACAGGCAATTAAAATCAAGAGGTCACAGAGGATTTTGGAATATGCATTAATAACTGTGCTTTTACATCCTTCCGATGAACTTAGAGGGTTACTCTAAAGACGTTTCTTCAAAAATTACTCAGGGCTAGCCCCTGTGGTGCAGCAAGTGGTAACGCAAGTACTCTGTGAAGCTGGAAACCACTTGGCCCTCCATGGGATCAGATTCCCAGGCTGCTGGTCACACATTCCAGGCATGTGCAGATGCCTGGGATCCTGAGAAGCTGAGGGCTGGGGAAAGGGGATGGTGGTGTGACAAGACCCTGTTGAGGACACTTCTTTCTCTCTCTCTGTGTGCATGCCTGTATTCTCTATCATTAAAAAAAAAAAAAAATGCTACTCAGAGTTTGTGTCTTTCCAATATCACATAGAAAGTGTTTTTGTAGATACATTTTTAATGTTAGAGAAAATTGGCAACCTGTGGAGTAGAGGCTGATTCACCAGTGTTAATTGTGACATTCTCCACACCAAGAAACACTTCAATTAATTACAAAACTGTATTTCCACAGTTAACCCCATAAAAGGAGTTTTTATCGACTATTGTGTGTTATCTATCCACACACAATGCGTAGAACCTTTTTAACCCATGACTTTTTCTCTTCCCAAATGTTTGAGAACAGCCATCTCATTTTCCTGGTCTCTCTCTCAGCTGTAAACACCACAGTCACCCAGTCCTCAGGCATCACTAAAAACTGTTTTCCATTGTTAGAACCATTGTTAGAATTTTCCATTTCATACAGGTGATGATAGGTCCAATCCTTTTATTGTGCCACTCTTCAGTGCCAACACTGAAGCTAATATAGCACAAGACCTAGAATGAAGTAACACTAATTAAATATTAACTGCCATTTCTGTGATTGTTTTGTTATCATCATTATTATTATTGGGGAACAAAGCAAAGATAGCTATTAATAGCAAAACAACCAAAGCAATTTTGCCATGCTGGGTTTCTGACACAGAAATTTTCTTTTTCTTCCTCTTTTTTTATTTTTTAATTTTTTTTTAGAGAGAGTTTTTTGTTATAAGGCACGTGCCTTTGCTGGAGAGACAGAGAGAGACAAAGAGACAGAAAGTGAGAAATTACCCCCACCCCCAGGAGGGATGGCCATGCCACAATCCCTTCTCCTCCATCCTCCTCTGAGTATCTTGAGTATACACACACACATGCCCAGCACGAGTTTCAAACCACCGTGTGTCCAGGACTTGAACTGCAGTCAACTATCTGGGAGTCCAAGAACGTAATCATTACACCATCTGCTGGTCCCTAAAACAGAAACTTTCTGTTTCTGAGGTTCAGAAAGTCCTTTGAGTTTCAATATCCTCTGGAAACACCTGAATAAATTCCCTGACCTTAGGCAGCTACCATTGACTGAAGTAGACTTGAGGGCCCAGGGATGATCGTTGCTGAGGAGAGTTTCCTGCTGTCCAGTTCCTCCCCCAGTGCAAAAATCCTGCACCAGTGTCCACCCTGCTAGCATGATGACTATATGGTCCTGCCAGTCAAGGCTGCCTTCTCATGCACTGAGTAATCTGAGGGCAGAGATTTTAAAGTTGAGCAGAAAATTGAAAGTTGGTTTTTCTGAATATGCATTTGATTTCTTCAGTTAGAGGCACTCTTAAGACCAACCTGCAGAAAAGGGCCAAGTTCTATGAGGAGAAAGAAAAAAACATAAGGTAGAGAAAGAAAATGGGCAAAAGAGTTTTGTCCAAAATTTCTTTACTCAAAGTGTGATCTTCAACAGCAACACTGGCATCTCCTAGGAGCTTATTAAAAGTGCAAAATCTCAGGTCTGACCCCCCAGACTTTCTGAGTCAGAATTAACATCTTAATAGTACCCCCAGGTGAGCTGTGTGCTCATTAAAGTTTGAGAAAAACTGGACTAGGACTCACCACCTGCCTCTCAGGTAGTTTCTATCCTCCTTTACCTAAACAGCACAGAGATAACACTGAAGGTCTCAGGCATTTGGATTGCATTGTTTAACTAAGGAAACTGAGAGGACAATTTTTTTTTCTTTAATTTAATATATTTTAATTGCAAACTTATGGGAACAGTACAAAAGACAGAAAACATTAAAGACATGTACTTGCATGTAGAACAATTCAGTTAGAAAAGTGTAGTGAATGGATGGAATCTACCATATGATAAAATGATAAAAATGCTACAAACAGGGGCCAGTAAATGGCATAGCAGTTATGTCACTGGACTCATGCCAGGAGCGTTGTGCATCTGTACCCAAGATCCTGAGAGCAGGATGGAAGAGATGTGTGGCCATCCCCCTGGTGGGCGGGGGGGAGGGGGGGGAGTGATGTCCTGCTGTCTCTCTACCTCTCTATCTCTCTCTGTTTCTCTGGTGAGTGTGCATGTCCTATAGCAAAAAAAAAAAAAAAAAAAATCTAAGATAAAAAGAGCTACAAACACCGTTTAGTTGCCTTCAATAAGAAATTATCTGAGAGGACATTTAAAAATAGGAAGATATCCAGGATCTGGTGGGAGACAACAGACTAAATATGCCCTGCTTTTCAAATGTTTCTACTGCTATAATTTCTGGAATTCCTTCTGGCCTTACGTCATCCAAGATTCCCCAGAAAGTGTGGGAGAACAATGTCATTCTCTGCAAGCAGTTTGAGGCCATCGATCACCTTGAATGCCTCTGAACTCCCCATTAGGAAATAAACAAAAGAGTACAGAGGGTAGTGAGACTGTCTGGCCAGCCAACTTTCTCCAGGCTGGAGGTTGAGTCCTGTGTAACTGCCAGAAAGACAGAGAGAGACAAAGACAGAAGCAAGAAATCACCCCCCAGGGGAGTTGGCCACACCGCAATCCCTTCTCCTCCATTCTCCTCTTGGGATCTTGGGCATGCATGTACACGTGCCTGGCGTGAGTTTAAGCCACCAGGTCTGGGACTTGAACCGCGGTCAACTACATGGGAGTCCAGTGACATAGCCATTACGTCAACTGCTGGTCCCGCCAGAGAGTTTTAAACCAAAACATAAAACAAAAAATGTTTACCCAGATTTCTGAACTTGATCTTTCCATTTCACTTTTATTAATGCTTTCACTTTGTACCTACAGGTACAAAAAATCATCTTAAAAATAAACTCCTAAGTGATTCCTAAGAATTTAAGATGAATAGTAAAGCAAAGTAAATATCAATAAACCTGCATTTTAGAGTCACACTGTGAGACTCATGACCCTGATTTCTTAAGGATCTAGATGAGTCTGAGCCAAAACTATTAAACACACACACAAATCAGCATCTATATCCAAAATTCACATATCCTTCTCCCCAAAATGGGTCTTTATCAACAGTCACTATACATCATACATGAATTTATATTCTTACTTAAACTGTCTCTCTTGCTCACTAGCCAGTATACAATTGAAGACACAAGGAATCTCACTCAATCAATCTCAAGTTTATTGTGAGGAAGGGGCTAGGGGTTAGCTGAGTATATGTATACATTACTTTTCTGGCAGCTTAGGGAACAGAAGTGCACAATTTCAACTTTCCTATCTTTAATGCTCGTCAGTGGGTTGGAAACCTAATTTAGAGAGATGCAGAAGATGATCATTCTTGTGGAAAAAGGAGTTAAATCAGGTTCTCCCCTATTGGAAAACTGTCCCGTTTTGGCAAAGCTAGCCCCATGTGCTGAAAACCACCTGCTCCCAGGGAAGCTATTGAGTCTGCTACCCAGCCATGTGCCTACTGTATCCTTGAGTCCTGAGTCTTTCTCTCCTACATCCAGGTTGAGCTTTTGGCTTATGCTCAGCTAGGCATTTATTAGGTAAGTTACAGAGACTGCATATTAAGGGTATGCTTTATGCACACACAAATTGCCTGAAGGATTTATTTTGTATTCAGGATTAGCCATCAACTCTAGAGTCTTTTATTTTTTATGTCACAGCATCTTTAAAGGGAATTTCTGTTGCTTTGATACTTGGCATTGCTGCAGCCTTGGGGAACTCTCTTGTCCTGGCTAAAGATTTGGCAACTTGTGGAGTTTACAGCAACATGGGGAACCTGATATCTTTCTTCTTAGTGACTTTTCTTTCTTTTTTAGGAAGGAAGAAAAAATAATGTCAATACAATCACGGTTTTGCATTTGAAATGAAGGCAATGAGGTGGTGGGACTTATTTAAGGGCACCCAGACTACAGATGACAATGAGGAGGTCTCAAAGAAGGAAAGTCATAAAACAGTGGACCACACCAGTCTATTTACAGTAAGTCCTCCCAGGAATTAAAAGCTGAAATTCAACATGGTGCCCATGTTGCATGCCAGCTCTTATTGAAATAGTGTGATACACATTTCTGATGCAGTACTCCATTTCTAAATTTGAAAATTGGAAGTAGGGCTTCCTATTTCCAGAGATACTGTAAACTCTGATGGGTAGCTATGGTAATTGTATAGGAAATCAGGGACCTTCTACTCAAAGTAACCTGTCTAGGGCATAGCTTTTGCAAAGTGAATAACTTTGCTACAGGTACAAGAATCTGCTAGCCAAAGCCTTACAGTGAGTGTAACAAAACGAGGGACAAAGGTGCAATTTGTTAGATCCCGCCCAGCCTTGAAGATGCACCAGTTGGGAATGCACTATTCTTGTCATAGCTGGAGACTACTGGCCCTGTGTTTATGGACTGGGATCATGTGGAGTGATGGAAGGAGGACTGAGCTACAAGTAGCGCTAGCCAATGAGCGATCCCTGTGACCTTGGCCAGGAACTGTTCATCAGTCTGTCCATTTGAAGAAAGGGAATATTCACCCCTGACCTACTTATCTCCCTAAGCTGTGAGGAAGTGTCACGAGAAATGGAGGAGCGCGTGCTCAGAAACCCAAGTAAAGGCCACCCAACACCGCCGTTGTGTTGAGCAGCTACCAACACAGGGCTCGAGCTGTGAAGCTGGA